TCTTTATATTAGTTTATCACCTATTTTATGGTGGTTGCATCCGGACTATGCAACCTATGTGATTGCAAAGCTGGGGAGAAGTGCTTGGTCAGAACTGGCAGGAGAAAAAGGGCAGCAGATTCTCAGGGTTGGCCCCTTACCCCGGGGATTGAATAGGTAGTAGCCAGGGGTGGGAGCCCTCACTTAAGTTAAGAGGTGGCCCAGTGGGGCTCAGGTAAGACACTGGCCTTTGCACTCAATGGGAGAACTTACATAAATTCTAGCCCTTAGTTTAAGAGTAATGGTACTCAGACACAGATTAACAGCTCCCATGTTCCATTCCCTGGGATTAGTGTAGGACTGAGGTTGCTGGTTTCCAGGAGGCATTTTGCTAGTTACCTTTTTTGGAGACCCAATGCCAAAATGGCTGCAACTGGAAGGGTGATTTTTTTCTGCAGGAATTTTTTTTCTGTAACAAATCAGGATTCCAGGGATGCAGGTCTGTAGGTCAAGGTCAATATCACAATTTATTAGGTGAAAAGTAGCCAAATCAGAACTCAATTCCCCGGTGGGTCCAGTTCCCTCGTGAATTAGAGCTAGAAGTAGATTTAGGGAAAGGCATCCTCTTAAAGAAGGGGAAGACAAAATATGGCCCACGGTCTGGGTCTGTCCCACCAGCCCATTCTATCTGGCTCACAGGGCCCCTGTTTATATTTATATTTATCTGCTCCTGGCTGCCTATCAAAGATGACAGGAGCCAGGGCAAGTAGGACTCAGGGGAAGCCGGCAGCAGGACCCAGCAGCAAGGCCTGCCTCCAAGCCCCCTCCCACCTCCACCCGCCCCTCAACTGGAAGCCTTTGCCTGCCAAAGCTTACACTGCTTCCCTGTATACCCCTGGCCACTCCAGCACCATGTGGCCCCCAGCTGCATCACTGCATCATAGGAGCATGGGGCTCGTGCTGGTACCCCAGGGCCAGGAGTCAGAGGGTGTGTGTGTGTGTGTGTTCATAGGGTGAGTCCCACATACACACCCCAACATACACATGCACCCACACCTCTCCTCACACTGCCATACATGCAGACCCCCACACCACCTCATATACCCCAGCCACCTTCACACACAGCCCCCACAAACCCCATATCCCCCCACACCCCACATATCCACACCCACATGCTCCCTCACCTCACACCCACACACCCACACCTATCCATCCCCACAAACCCCCCACAGATGCACCCACAGACTCCCCACAAACCTATACCTACCCCACTACCCCCTCCACAATATACAAGAATTCATTTGAAGCTATTGTGCAATCACCTTTATGTACACTATACAAACACATGTAAATCAGGACAAAAAGATTTTTTGAAATCATATTAATGAATGTTGTAGATATTTGCTTTTTAGAATACAATTTGGTATTTTTCTGGTTCCAAGATGGCAAAACCACTTGCTGAAAGGAGTACTATCGGGGTGCAAGGGGCGGTACTTCTGGTGGCAAAGGGGGTGGGACTTCCAGTCACAAGTTGATATCCAGGGGGCAGGGCACCTGTCAAGGGGTGGGGCTGTTTTTTTATTTGCACGGCCAGGACCAAAACACTTCCTTATTTAATGCAAAGGGTAGGTCTGAATATACCCAATTGCTTCCTCAGAAGACTGATATAAAAAAATATGGCTTCTCTGCTATGGCCTGATGACCCTTAAGAATTCTCTTTACTCTATGTTACTCTATTGGATCTACCAGATTCCTCATTCTGCATAATTTCTTGTAATCTTTTTTTAATATATTTAGCACTTTGCTCTTCAATGTATTGCTTCTTCACTATGCATACTACAAAGCTGTTTCTTCGTTGTTTCCCCATTCCTTAATCTTAGTGCCATTATTTCCTTTTAAACCTGCTTCTTCCTCCTGCTTGTTGGGCAGCTCCATTGTGCATATTATTCTCTGGTTAGGATGGTGCTGAAAGAGACCACCAGTTCTGTCCTGTCATTTACATCATTTATCTGAAGTTGCAGGTTGTTCTTCAATTCTCAAGGGTCAGTGGATTGTTTTAGTTAAAGTAATAAATAATAAGAAATGACAGATTATAAAGTAGTAATCCATCCAGGAAAGCTTTGCTTTAGTAACCTAAATACCAAAGATAAATGTATTTCATAATCCATCATTTCCAAGTTACATACATGATTAAAATATTGAATTTGCAATATATGGTATCCCAGTTGCATTATCGCTCACACAAAGAGCTACTGTATCTTAACTGTCAAGTTCAATAAATAACATTCTTTCTAATCCGTTTCTTCATATAACACACTAAGCCTGTTGCTGTTTTCAAAAACAGAAACATAACTATCCTCCTATCCTTACTCTCACAGACTGTGGAGCCACAGTCTGACAGAGCTGAACCATGAACAGGGCAGAAGTAACTTGCCAAGTCTTCATTCTTTTACACATTAGCCTTAAAGAGAAGTCAGCACCGTGAAATAACCACTTTAGCAGGCCTCTCACCAACCCCTTCCAGGACCAAAAATCATTCTGTGGACAAAAGAGATATACTTCTCTCTGGAATTCTAACTTTTAACAAGTTAGTATGACACATAATCCCTTTTTGTCTAGATTGATTTGTATAGGTTGACACACACAGTATTAACTGCATTAATTCGTTTCACTAGTAGTTGTGTTGAGATGAAATGAGAGGCATGTGTGCATGACACTTTAAAACAGGCTAAATGCTTTTGCATCGCTTTAATGGTGTCAGTGTTTGCACGCCTCGATGGCACATTGTGCATTAAATTCCAGCTGCTGTAGGAAATTCATCGGCGTAATGCGCCTTAAATGACTTGGAGTGCAGCAAACTAAAACTCCTTCAAGGAGTTTTAGTTTGCTGCCCCTACAGCTGAGGAGCGAAGCACAGGGCTCTGTGCAGCTCCATGGCTCTGCAGGAAGTCCTGCAGACAGCCTGGCAGCAGCCTGGGAAAGCAGCTCCACCCAAGAAAAGCAGCAAGCCTGACCTTTTTCTTTTTTCTCTCCTGGAGCCTCCCTGTCTGCCTGAGCTGTGCGGTGGCCTGGTGCTTCCCTCCGCGGCTGTGGTACCCCCTGGGACCACCTGAGTTGGATGCCTGCAGGCAGCTGCCACCTGTGGGGGGGAAGAGGGGCCTGTAGCTGCCACGGACGAAAGCACCAACCACCCTCCACAGCCCAGGGACCACTCTGCCCACTGGCAGCTCGCCCTCCAGTCCCCACAGCAGAGGCAGGTAAGTCAGCGGGGTGTGTGCATGATATGCGGGTTTAATCAGCTGTAAATTGAAGTGGTATTTTTTAAAACCCACCACTTCAATTTAGGGTCCCCATTTACTTATGTCAGTTCTCAAGGTGAGAGGCAAGGTGGATTTCTTTGTCAGTAACACTGATACCCTCTCCCTGGATGCTAACCCATTTCTATAAATGGAGATTTTTGCCTCCAATTCCAAGAAAATCCCACTGATCACTCCTCAATGCACCATGCTGCAATACACCAGACTGGACAAGATGGCAGGTATCTTCAGTACATTTTCCCAAGGATAGAGACTCCCAGTTCCTTCTGAAAGGGCTTTATTCTTCTATTCCCAAGTGTCTGAAAATTACTCCATTTGCAGCCTATAGCAGAAACATGTCAAGAATGCCAAGAAGCTAGAAGTTTGGGCATACTGCCATTAATATGGAACTGGGTATGTATTGTATTTTAATGTATAAGGCACCAGGCTAATATCTATGGGTACTTTTTTAACACATACAAGCTACATCACCACTAGACTATATTAGGGAACAAATACAATCAGAAGTAAAGATAACTAGGAGAACACCTACAAGGAGCGTATTCAAACATCAGGTCAGGATTACACTCAGAGGTGTAATATTATTGGTCAGCAACATAATGATTAACAATTACATAAAAGTAAAATAAAAAAAAGTATTTTTGTAGGCTGATTATGCCTGAGAAACATCTGTGTAGAGCATGGAACAAGATGCCAAGAGAAGAAACTGGCCATCTACTACTTAGCTAAGCTCAGTGACTGTCTCCCCATGAGTGGGAACATGTGGTTTGTGGTGCCTCATGTGGCATTCATGGTTCTGTTTGCAAAATTAGATACCAGGAAATCCCAGTATCTAAAAACCCTGTAGCAGAAAAAAGCAGGGTGGTGCACATGGCTGCAGTGTGCACTGCCTAAAACCAGAGCCTGGCCAGTCTGAGCCATGCTCTGGCTGCTGGTCGGGCTCCATGTATCTGGATCACCACCACTGCAGCCTCAGGAAGCCCCCATGACCACAGGTAAGGCTGCTGAGGCCAGCACAGGTGCTAGCCCCAGCCTCCCTTAGCCCACCCAGAACAATTTGCTGTGCATCAGGGCACACATTCAGGGGTATGACCAGGAATAACTAGCAGCAGCACAAATATGTGCCACAGCTATTTGACCCTGGGGAAACGCACATTCCTGTTCTGGGGACATGCCCTTTGTGGCTTATTTCAACTAATGGCAACCTGGACATTTCAAACAACAGCAACCTTATACTCCACTAGCTTGTAAACAGAATTTGTGCTTTGCTTTTAGTATGATGGGTTATTGGCATTGTTTGAATTCAGGTTCCAAGAACTCCTCTGCTGTACAGAATATGTCAGAAAAGTAGCTCATCTTCTATTTCATAACGGTGAGGGATACCTTTTAGTTACAGTAACGCTATACAACAAAGGCTGTGAATCAGTATGACATTATAGCAATCAAAATCAAAGAAAATGTGTTACTCTAGCTTTAAAGTTTGATGGTTGAATCAAGCCCTAAAATGTTGATGTGCTTATGAATTTTGGAAAAGAAATATAACCTCCCCCCCTCGGCAAGCAGAATTGTGAAAGGGATTATAACAACCTTGCACCTGCTGAGTTTTGATTTGCTGATATGACCCAGATAAATGCAACATGATTTGATAGGAGGAAACAGAGCTTCTTACCAGCTTGTGTGGGATACAATGAAACATAGGCTTACCTATGAAATAGGCTAGGAGGATGGCAAGCAGAACTGCAGCAGCAATAGCTGATAAAGCAGCACATTTCCAGCTACAATACTTGGAGGGCTTTTTCAGCTTGAACGCATTTCTGGAGAAAGTATTTCTAGGCAACAGTCTAGGTGGTGGTGTATAAACTGTTCCTGAGGTCAAAGGATATCCCGGGGAAGAGCTACTGAACAGAGGGGTAGTTCCAGAAGATGTCTTAAACAAGAAATGCCTGAAAAACAAGAAAATGGGACACATTTTAAAAGGTGCAGTACTATAGTTAGAGAAAAATATCTCCTCTGTGGACCTTTATTCAGGCTGTCCCCTTTGCCTGGAATCTCCTTCTTCACCTGGTTCACAGTGACCTGTCCCTCTTCTGCATGTTCCTGCTTACAAAATTACCTCCAGAAAAGGTACCCTATTCATCTAAAGCAGCTTTAACAGATTTGACAACAGAAGAAAATAACAAAAAGATAATCAAAAGGAAACAAAAAATAACCCTAGATGTAGCAAGGTAAGGTCTAAACTACTCCAGTTAATTAATTTAGCTTTTGTTCTCACCTTCCATTCATACAGCCAAAGCAGACAGTTAGCTATACGATATTTAAGGGCAAGGATTGAGGCGTTGGTGTCACTCTGAGTTACACCACTGTAGACTGATAGAACTGGACTGACTACAGTTGTGTTACACTGGGATGACAAAGACATGTAAAATGCCTCATACACTTTTGCTTTGCATAAAGTTAATGCTACATAGTAATATCAGCTATACTTCTGCATAACAGAAAAATAAAGGCAACTCTCAAATAGTCGGTGACTACCACAGGGGAAAAAAGAACTAAAAACCTCAATGTAGCAGTTTTTTAATTCTTTTTCACTGCTCTATTTTTAATTTAAACATAAAAGAATCCAAAGATAATGAGACAGAGAAGCCAATCTGTCAGCCCTGAACACTGGATCCATCCAGTTATTTATATAACAGGGACAACGTAGGCAATAGCAGTACAATCCTATCATACTGTACACTACCAACATGCCTCAAACCTACTCATGAGGGGTTAACTCTTAGGTTTGAAATTTGGTTCATTTACTGTGGGCACATGTACACGTGCATTTAAGTGCAACTAAATTTAGTGTGTATTAATGCATATTCATTGATTTTTGGCAGGTGTCTATATGTGTAGAGACTTGGCACTGAAGTCAGTGCCAAGTCCCTGCAGCCCTGCCATGTGCCCTTAGTGGCTGGGCATACCCAGCACTAAAGTTAGTGCTGGCTCTCACATACGCATGTGCTAATGCATTTGATCTAATTGCACCTAAATTTGATACCTGCATTTTCAGGTATCAAATTTAGGTATGATTACCCTAATTTTGGCATTTTTAATGCACATTAAGGGCATGCACATGTAGACACACACCTGCAATGTGTATTAAATTAGGCTAATATGCATTAACACGTCTTGTGTAGACATGCCCCATGTCCCTTTCAGTACTTTGCTTCTTGGCTCAGTGTCCCAAGGAGGATGCTAATTAATTCCATATCTGGGAGTGAGATTTTAGGCTGGGACAGCCTAAACAAAATCACCAGTTCATTTCACAGCTATGACATGGTAACATGATTTCATTTAAAATCAGTTTTTATTTGTACATTCTTTGCCAGTGGCAACCAATCCCCATAAGTGCAAGAAGAAGAGAGAATTTTTTTTTAAAGAAATGAGGACCACCTGAAAATCCAGGTTCCTAACAGGTTTCTTACTGCCACAGAAAGTCTGTTTGATCAGCTCAACCACTATCACTTTAAAATGCAAGATAAATAAAGCAGAGATCCCCTTTTGCAAGGATGATCTTTTAATTCATTGGGGCTTAGCTTCAACTTGACATGGTGTTAGCGAAGACTCCAACCTGACCAATTACGTGTCTTTTGATATTGTAATGACATCTTCAAGCAATGGCATGTTATCTAGCTCTGAGATGCAAAGGTAATATAATTATAAATTCTTGCTGGCTTGAATTTGACTGGGGTATGCAACTAATTCCAAAATGTACAATGCCTGTATGTTTATTAGTTTAACTAAACCGTCATCTTTCCTTGTAAACATCCTTTCGTCACTTACAGGCTTAAATGGCTTCCCCTGAGAGATCTTAGCCGAACAAATATTCTGAAGTCAACAAGTGCACTAGTCTCAATAACAGTCCTGGCAATGGCTGTCAGCAGAATAGAGCCTGAAAAGCATTTCAAGTCCATATGACAGACACATCTTTCAGAGTTAGAACTAAACACTAAAAAAGGAAAAAAAATTGGTACCACTTTGGGAAGGTCCTGGGTACCTTTTTAGCCAGTGAGATTTAAAGATATTCAGCAATTTGCAAAATTGGACTCATGGTATTTATAAAAATTAGGTCTTATTTCAGTTGCAGCAATGTTAAATGAATACCAATGATCTGAAAAACGAAAGAAGCAGTTGCTATCAAACTGCTTATCCTAAGCTTTAAAATTGGATTTTAGTCACTGTTTATTATATCAATGCTTTGGAAGTTTGGAACTGAAGTGTGCTTCCTACGTATCTTTTCCCCCATCATCATGCATACACATGCTCATTTGTCATTATACAGTTTCTAAGTGCTAGGCTGCTGGAATTGATTTTTATTTTTTAAAGAGCACTGAAGCATTTGTTTTGAAATAAAACCCAATGCATAATGAATTGCATGGACGGTGGAAGCAGTTAGAACAAAATAAAAGAAAGGCTGTGCTGAGGATCTGCCAATTTTGACAGTCTCAATTTATGACTATACGTTGGAATTTGAAGATCGTCTGTCAATGTGGCTTGTTTATGCTTTTTTTTATTCTGATAAGCATTATACAAATTATTCTCACCCATTTTTACTGCTTAAATGACCATCTGTACTTTCTCCCAAGAGCCAGATACAACTATTATGAAAGTACACAACAGCTCAAGTCACTTTTGTGTCAATTGCACATACTTGCACAGGTGTTAGTATTCTTTTACATAACTAAAATAATAACAATCCTTCAAAAAACTCCACAGAAAAAAAATAAACAGTCTGCAGTTGGTTTGAAATCTAACTATCTCAGACATTTCTGTTTTTTCTTGAAGTGTTCCTGTTACATGCTCTTTTCAAAACAATGAATAAAGAAACAGTAATAGTCTAATCTAATCAATTATTTAATGGAGAGCATTTTGCAATTAATCTTCCTGCCAAATAATGTTGCTGTTCTTTCCTGTTTGTACATAATATAGCAATGGTGAGATTCGGTGTTAATATCATTACTAATCCACACTTTTATAGATGAACTATGAGAATGTGCTTATGGAAGAAGCCATGTTTAAAAGGTTTCAGCCTCAGATTGATCTACCCTTGCAAATTAAAAACAAATCTTTAAGGCTCTATTCCAGTTACAAGAGCACAAAGAATAACCCAAAATGGTTTCAGATGCTTTTTTTGCTACCAGAATAAAAACAGCTTTCACTGATTATAATATACATTTGGGAAATAGGGCTGGTTGGGTTAACCTACGGCTCCTGAGATTTCTACTTCTCTTGTCTGACTGACAAGTCGATCATCTGTAAGCACTATCATTAACCTCAGCCCAAACTCCCCCAAATCCTCATTATACCAGCAGCCATTTCCAGTTTTGAGCCTAAGGGGCTTTAATAAACAGTCTTCTGTTAGCTTCCTTTGTATCTCTAAGAGCAAATCTCAGTTGAGTCAAGCATAAAAGTACAGTTCTTGTGCTGCCTTGAACTAAAATGTCAAGGTTTTTAACCCAGGATCTCTGTGTGCTGTTCAGCTAACAAAGCCAACTACAGTAGCAATGAAAGTCTGAATATAAATCATTGTAAATTGAACTTGGATATAGTGAAACAATGGTCATGCTGAAGATGGATGAACAAACATCCTGAACTATTTCAATGGAAAGTGCCAATCAAATTCTGTTTCATGGGAGGAATAAAAAAAAAAAGATTTTACTCCTAGAGGGTTCCATTGTAATCAAGTTACATATGGAAACATCTCCGATCAGCAATAGACCAAAATTGGACAGAGACTACAATCCTTTCTCAACAATAGTCTCATCTTGATCAAACTGAGAAGAGCTTGTAGTACGATCACAAGTAATGTACAGTGAAAATAAATTCACTTCTTTCACTGACCATTCAATTAATGTTAAGTAGAGCCCATACATTCACTGTAAAATTGGAATTAAATAAACCAATAATCACATTCCTTAAGTTTTAGCTCTTCATCTGCCTAGTGGTAAAGAGAAAAAACACATTTCCATCCTCTAATTAATATTAATACTTCATTTCTGTAAATCACATTAAAACAAGGTACACTGGGCTATGTGCCATAGTAGACCATTTAATTTACCTTCAATAGCTAGAGAATGGGAGTAACTTTATGTCCAAATAGCAACTGAAATAAGTTTGGCAGCCTCAGCCTACTCCCTGCTCTTTTCTGTCACTATCACAAAACTGTTGTGTGATTTGGTGCAGTTGGCTTTTCTGTTCAGGAACAGACTAAGAGTGCAAGGCAACAATATTGCATTTTGGGAATGCAGGAGAGCTTTAGGAAAAAGTGTAGGAGAGCTTTAGGAAAATATCTGCACGTTGTTTACATATATCAAGTCAATGCTGTCACGCTTAAACAATGGTATCTGCTCCTCAACTTCACGAGCATGGAAATGAATCAATTCCATTTTTCCAAATAATGCCTGGAGATGGTACTTAGTACAGCAGGCTGTGACACCCATTAGGAAAGAGACACATCTTATTAGAAAATGTCACTGAGGCCATGACATGCTGTGTAAGTACATCTTGCAAAGGAGACACTTATCCATGTGTTCATGGAAGAAGAATAGATAGATGAGGAGTGCAAAATGCATCACTAAGACTCTAGCATTCTATACTGCAGTATTTATTCTTCCTGGAGGGCAAAAGATACTGTGGTCTTTGGTCTTCATTGGAAAAAGGAATGACAGCAGACAGCATGAACTACATTCCCTTTTGAGCTATTCTGGCCAGAAAGACAGCTGATTTCCAGGTAGTGGTTAAGGAAACAGACACACAAACAATAAACCATAATGGGTGTATGTACATGTGAAATTAACACAAAGCAATACACTCCAGTGAATATGGTGCCAGAATTTATTGCTCCTGGGTGTCATGTCTTCACATATGCCTAGGACTGCAGCACATTGAGCTGGATCAGAGC